TACCAGCTGGCTTTATCTGGTGTATAGCTTGTCCAAAAGAGTTGTGGAAGGCTGAGCATAGCTTAGTGCCTAAGAGGTCTTCAGAATTGTACTTTTGCTAGTCGCGGGTGGGGTTAAAGGTTAAAGACTTGAGACTGTGCCACGACAACAGGAACCTGTCATGATGTTTTTCTCAAGGGCTGGCAGTGGGGTGTGTGCAGCACGTTACGGTCTAAATCCATGATGGAGACACCAGAGAGCAGCAGAGAAGGTGAAACAGGAGCACGTGGCAGTCCCAGACTGACGCTGGCCAGGACTTGGTGACCAGCCTTTGTCACAAAGTGCTGTTAAGTAGCTTATTTATAAATTAACATGGATACTACTCCTGTGCAATTGAAACAGGCACAAATAATCACATTGCTGACTTGATGGCTACAATATGTCATCTAATTTCAGATGCTTCAGATTGTTAAGATGATTAAATGTCACCAAAAATCTCTGGTGGAATTTCTTCTCTTTCCACAGAGCATTTAAGTCTACAGTTAAACAAGGTCTGCAGAAAAACTAGCACCAACTAAAAGAATGTGACCCTCTCAAAGTGGCAGAATACCCCACTTTGTGAAAATCCTCAATACTTCTGTCATGGTATCTTTTTTTTTGTTTCTTTGGCCTCGCCGCGCGGCTTGTGCAACCAGGGATTGAACCCGGGCCCTCGGCAGTGAAAGCGCCGAGTCCTAACTGCTGGATGGCCAGGGAATTCCCCTTGTCATGGTATGTTTATTCTACACTGACATTTTCGGAGATTTCTTGCTCATTGCCTATTCTTATGAGTATACACATTTTTGAAAAACATGAAATGATACTTAAGCCACATTTCTAACTCAATAAAAGTCACTTCAAGTCCTGTACAAATGATAATCTCTTCTTCTATTCCAAAGAAAAGGCCAATTTTCAAGACTGTTTAATAAATAAGTAAATTGAGACATAAAGCCTCTACTAAACTGCCTTTCGTTTTAAAACAATAAAAAAAGTTGAGAATACTCAGGATGGATTTCAACTAGGAGGCAGTATAAAACATGATCACTTGTATTTCCTTTTTTTTTTTTAAAGTTTCTTCTTAAATAAACTAGAAATGTACTCTTACCCCAATTTACGCACTATATAGGAACACTTCAGCTGGCTAACCCACAGAAAAATTTCAGAGCATGTTTTTCTGAGCCCATCAACCCTATCAGAGTTCAGAGCCAATGTCAATACACTGATGGACTCAGTTCAATTTGCTCCTAAGTGAGAGGAGGTGGAGGATGTGTGGTCACTGGCTGACATCATTACAGTCCAAATCATGGGGTTCCCAATGCGATTCAAGTAGTAAAGTGTCTGCAAAGCATCGTGGGTTTCGTGGTGGGATATTATGATAGTTTAGGATATATATTAGATTAAAATTTTCTGTTGGCAGAAGACAATTATAAAGGTATGTAATAGAAAAAAATCACTGGGGTTTTTGGTTGGGGGAACAGTTGTCAAACTAACCATACAGGCTGTTTCTGCTAAGATCGATTATTTATTCACTAGTTTTCTTATCTGTTTGGAAGGAACACTTGGCATTATTTATAGAATGCAAGGGTTCAGGGCTTCCCTGGTGGCGCAGTGGTTAAGAATCCGCCTGCCAATACAAGGGGCATGGGTTCGAGCCCTGGTCCGGGAAGATCCCACATGCCGCGGAGCAACTACGCCTGTGCGCCACAACTACTGAGCCTGAGCTCAAGAGCCCCCAAGCCACAGCTGCTGAGCCCACGTGCCACAACTACTGAAGCCTGTGTGCCTAGAGCCTGTGCTCCGCAACAAGAGAAGCCATGACAATGAGAAGCCCACGCACCGCAACGAAGAGTAGCCCCTGCTCGCCGCAACTGGAGAAAAGCCCGCGTACGGCAACGAAGACCCAACACAGCCAAAAATAAATAAATAAATAAATAAATTAAAAAGAAAAAAAAAGAATGCAAGGGTTCAGCAATTTGAGAACTACGGGCTTAAAATGTGTGTATCAATAATTGACCATAACTCTTCAAAAACTTTTCCCCAAGGATAATTTTTAACAGCTAGTTCCTAAACCGTCTTGGAGCATTTTCAGTTTGATGGTAATAAAGATGATGGGTAGGGAACTTACCTTGCCCACTCTACTGGTAAACCAGTTCCTGAACGATAGGTGAACTGGGGTGGATTTAGAATAGAGAAGCAGACTGCAGTGGTCGAAATGAGAGGTGACAAAGTCTTATTCCAGGAATTGGTTGTAGAAAGGGAAAGGAAAAGTCAGACTTTAGAGCTATGACAGAGAAAGAAACAGTAAAATTTGAAGTTGAGGAGGCAAGAGTGAGGAATCAAAGAAAACTTCAAAATAGCAACTATATAAGCGACTTATGATGGTTTTCAAGTGATAAAATAAATGGAAGAAATTTTCTGTAGAAAAACATTTACTGTAAGAGCCACCCACAACTTCTTGAACACAAACCATTCACTGGAAAAAGGAAACACAAACACCAGTTGATTAAGCAACAGGATAAAACAACTTCAGAAAGAGATTTTAACTACATGATCCTAGACATCTTCCAAAGTTTAATGAAATGTATTCTTTAAAAACTGGTACAAGTTACATCAATAATTTTATGTCTGATTATTCTAATAGTGTATTACTCATCTCATCCAAAAAGAGTTAATATTCATAAGCAACTGGAAAAGGACCTGGTACATATTAAGTGCTATATAAGTGTTTAAATAAAAAACCCTTTGCGGCTTCCCTGGTGGCGCAGTGGTTGAGAGTCCGCCTGCCGAGGCAGAGGACACGGGTTCGTGCCCCGGTCCGGGAAGATCCCACACGCCGCGGAGAGGCTGGGCCCATGAGCCATGGCCGCTGAGCCTGCGCGTCCGGAGCCTGTGCTCCGCAACGGGAGAGGCCACAACAGTGAGAGGCCCGCGTACCGCAAAAACAACAACAACAAAAAACCTTTGGCCATCTTTCAGTGATTGAGTATTAACATCAACTTTGACTGGGTGAATATACAGTCCTTGTTGGTTTCATGCATCAGATCTTTTAATTTCTATGTCCTACAAAATAAAGTCCAAGTTCCTTAGACAAAACCATTCATATTCTAATCCAGGCTGCCTTTCCAGCTTGTGGTAAGAGGCAGCCCCTGCGGAACCATGGCTTCCTTGTCTTTAAGCAGTGTGGTCACCCTCACCCTGGCCCCTGCCCCCGGCTCCAAATCTGGGCTGCCCTGTAGTTCTCTCTGAGCTTAATGTAGTGTGACACTTTGCCGGTTCTGGGTCTCAACCTTAAGTCCAGAGAGTTTCCGGTTTGGGGATTCAGCCACCATGTAAAGAAATTTAACTACCTGGTGAGACCATGTGGGGAAGGAGGGGAGGAGAGAGAGGGAGAGAGTGAAGTAGACTGAGAATATTACATGACAGGAAAACAGGGGCACATGCCCTTTTACAGGGACAGCTACTATTTAAGCACAACTGACAGCTCTCACTCAAAATCTACCATTTTCAGGAGAATCTAGAAACCTGAATTTATATATGCTATCTGATCAGTGACAACTGATTCTAATTGTTCAACACTGTGTGGGCCACCCCCCTTCCCCAGTCAGTGCCCTTTTCTCCATGGGCCGAGCAATCCCACGTTATGCTACCCTTCACGGTGTCAGCCTCCACCTCTATGCTGATGACGCTCATGACGGTATCTCCGAGCCTGGCCTCTCCTTAGAGTTCCAGATCCACGTGCACAATTGCCTGCTGTGTATCTCCGCCTAGACGCGACACAGATACCTCAAACCGGTTAGGTCCCAAAATGAGGGTCATCTATCCTTTGAATCCTGCTTTTGATTCTGTATTCTCTAACTCAGTGGGCTGTATTACCACCTGCCTAGTGGTCCAGCAAGAATCTGGAGCAGGCATGGTGATTCCGCTGTACTTTTTATACCCTATGGTGAGGTGTTGAAAACAGCTTACTGATTCCATCACCTCAAGGTCTTTTGAATTTGTTCTGTCTTCTTCTGCATGGTCTTGGTACTACCCTGGTTTAGATTCTCATTATTTCTTATCTAGACCATTGCAACAGTCTCAGTTGTTCTCCTAACCTAAACAATGTCTCCCTCCAGTTTATTTTCTACACCGATACTAGACTGGCCTTTCAGAGGGACAAATCTCACCCCTCTATCAAGTTTCCTTCCAATAGCTTGTCTGAGAAATGGGGCTCAAGACCTGGACTCACCCTGCTTCTCCAGGCTCCTTCTCTTCATGTTCTAGAGAACCGTTTGTTACCTGCAACTCCCCAAATACAACAGGCACCCTGTATTCTTTCTCTACGAAGTTTACTTAGGATTTCACGTTCCCTCTATCTGGAAGGCCCTTCTCCTATTCATCCTTCAACACGTAGAGCTGCTATGGCAGCCTCTTTCGTGCTTTCCTAACCTCTAACTCCACCAAGATATAGTATTACTTATTTTTATGTGACCTATACATGTTTCTTATTGTCTATATGTATATTTGTTTGCACATTGACAAACACAGAAATCACTCCACAGAAGCTGATCTGGTCCCTGAAACTGAATTCATAATATTTTAAAGTCTCCTATTCTATAATTTCTTGTATACATATCCAAAATAAAACATTTGGTTTCGATGTTATTCAAATATTTATAAAAGTTGTCAATTTAAAAAGTCTCAAATCCCTTCATGATCCCCATAAAAGAGTTACATGCTACAGTTATATTTTGATGAAGCATTTTAAAGCTCTACTCACCCAAAGGCTGGTCCACTGTTTGCTCTTTATTATCTATAGAAAGGTAAAAATGCAAAAAGATAAGGAGCTGTTATCCATGATCCATCTTCGGGGTTAGAGAGATACGGAAACAATGAACAATCACATCTGCAGCACCGAAGGGCAGAATGTGGATCCTAACAGCTAATTTATGATTTTTAAGGTTTTCAGGTTCTTGATTAAAAACAGGTACCTAGATGGACAAGAGTCGGAATCGGGGCAGGAGAATGTCTCTGGTAACTGATTACCACAGCTGGGGGTGATACTCTTTAACACGTGAGGTAGAAATTACAATCTGAAAATGGTTGGTGGTGGCAAGCAGCAGCAGGAATTTCACATCTCCTGAACGATGGCGTGGGCCTGCTGTACGTGCTGTAAATATAACTGATTTAAATCATCTCAGTTTATGAGGTATGTACTGTTATTACCTCCATTATACAGATAAGGAATCTGAGGCAGAGAAAGACTGAGTCACTTGCCCAATGTTTTCAAGCTAGGAAATCTCATTCCGTGGTCACGCTCTTTGCCATCAACTACACATAAAATGAAATACCTCCCACTCTCAAGGACCATGCAGAAAGAGATGCAGGGAAAGATGGAGTTCAGTCAGTAATATGTCTCTTACTATAGACAGAGTGTTTGCATTTTTAATAATATATATGCTACGAGAGTCCACTAAAAATATATTAAATTCTTTTTAACTAAATTTCTTGGTGTTTCTAATTCTTGAGGAGTAACGATATAATGAAAGAGGAGGTCAGGAAAATTTTAGAAGCTTAGTGGTGCTGGTTTGCAAAAGTTTTCCTGAAATAGCTTTTCATAATGTTCATTGAAGGGCATGAAATAACAGACAAACTTAGGAAAAGGGGATTCCTAACCAGATCAAGAGAAGCAACTAGCTACATGACGAGGGTGGTTCTCCAACACCACTTAGTTTTGGGTGCTTGAAGCACGTCTCACAGGGGCTTCCCGGAGCTCAAGGCTGGCACAGCAGGAATGACATGAGGGTAACAGTGGCGTTCTGGTTTGTCTCACTGGCTTATGTGTCATCAGCACAGCCCAATCATCACTCACAATAACAGATGTTTTTTAACAAAATATGGGCACAAAACTAAGCAAACTAGTCATGGTGCTAAAACTATGAGAAATCACATGTCAAGAAATAAGAGGGATCTCTACATATATTAACTGATACATATAACTACCTTCTTATTGTTCTCCTGTGAGGTTTTATTTTCAGATAGTCACAGGTTCCATCAGTGCCTTTCAGAATGCCCACAGCCTGGACTGATGTCCTCGGTCTTTATGGAGTCCTCATTATTACTATGCCTTTCATCTCAGGTAAGGCTTCCCTTTAGCTTAACTTGTTCAGAAATCTGTTCTGATTAAAACTGGCCAAAGGATGATAAATACTCCTGCCAACTGTCAGTCCCTTAATGGTCAATGACTAACTACTCATCTGTACAGCACTAACAATAATTTTACTTCCGTTACAGACACCCACCCAACTAGTTCAGATGTGTTCAATGACTGAGCAGCTTTGAACAAGGACCCAGGGGTCTGGTGAGTTCAGAGATGTTACTCCTGTCACTCTTTCAAAGGCTGCTTCTTGTCTTTCAAATTAAAGAGCAAGCATTTCCCCATTTAACTGCCTTTTGATGATACAGAGTTATTCACAAGGATAGAGAATATCTATAGCATCTTTAAGTTACTGTATTCAATAATTAAATACCTAAAGCTAATGTTTTAATGTTTGTATTACTCACCGGGATGCCCGAGATTATTTAATTCATCTAAAATAAAATAAGAGAAAATAGATTAAATAATCTTTAAATAATTTAAATAGATTTAAATAACCTTTAAATAATCTGCCAATTTAGCACAGATAGTAAGACTGACAAAAGAAGTTGATTCTTGCACTGTTGAATCGTGTTATAATGTCTTATCAGGTTAGAACATTTAAAATGCCGTAAAGGAGAAGTCATGCAGTCAAATTGTGAAGAGGAGAGAACGTGGTTGTGGACATCAGTTAGGACTCCTGAGCTATTACTGCTTTCATTAAATGACAAAAAGCTAAATAGACTCATTCTTAATTTGATCAAAGTTTTAGATATGCTGGCCAATTACTGGATGAAAACAATCACGAGACAGGTTTGTCTATGGCCTCGACTATACACTTCATGAAACTAATTAAAAACCTCAAATGATATTTTTGAGAATAAACTTTTAATTTTAGAACAGTTCAAGATTTTACAGAACTATCGTGAAGATACTACAGAGAGTTTCTACAGACACCCATACCTAGTTTCCCTATGTCTAACATCTGTTGTTAGTAAGGCGTATTTGTCACAATTAATGAACCATTAAAGTTCTTTTTGGTTCCAGGACCCCATTCGGGACACCACATCACATTTACTTGTGTCTCCTTGGGCTCCTCTTTGTTGTGACAGTTTCTCAGACTTTCCTTGTTTTTCATAACACTGACAGTTTTGAGGATTATCGGTGAGGTATTTTGTAGAATGTCTGTAAATCGGGAGATGTCTGATGTTTTTCTCCTGGTTACACTGGTGGAATGTGTTTTTGGAGGTATAGTGGTTTCAGAATTGTTAGCCTGTAGAGCCTGGCTAACAGAAAGAAAATCATCTAAGCAAATACCTATGACATTATAGCCATCTATTTTTCCTTTACAAATTGTGTGAAGATAAAAATTAACATTCACAATAAATTATAAATGCTATACTATTCATAAAATATTATGCAGTAACTTCTATGAGATATAAAATCAACTACGGAGTGGTATCAGCTAGAGTACAGGGTTCTGTACAATTTCTTCTGCCTTCTGTGTTCACTCATTCCTAGGTACTTAGGTTAGCACCTGTTCTTCCATCCCATAATCAGTGAGGTTGCTTCATACACTTGCTATAGGTTTAGATTCTTCTGTCATATTCTGTGTTCCATCCTGGGATCCCCCTCCTCTGACCTTCCTAAACGATTTAAAACCTGCATATATGTATTTACCACTACAGCTGCCATATAGGATATTTTCACTGCCCTAAAGAAATCCCCTGAGCTCCACCTATCCAACCCCCTACCCCTTCTCCTGATCAAGTATCTTTAATAAAGCACATAAAATAGGTCACATCATGTTCTACAGGTAAAAAAAGATACGGTATGTTGGGACATTGTTAACACGTGCCACTCCACCAACTATAAAATGCCTCAACTTTGAAGACTTTTTTAGAAAGAAGAGTTGGATCTAATTTTTCCATCTGAAATTTTTGGAGTAGTTTCATAGTTGGGTTTTCATCTGTGTTTGGAACAGATTTATCTGAAAGTTATTACTTAATAGTGTGTTTGCCACTGCAAAAATTATAGGAAGAATCTTGCAGGTAAAGAAGCCGCAAGGTGGTAATATACATGCATTACCCAGAAGCTGAACAGCAATGCTAGTTTATGTTTATTCTTAGAGGTCTCCAGTGTTAGGAGGTTTTAAAAATCATGCAATTAGCTGAAAAAGGAGAAGGAAGAAGAGTTTGGTTAGGATTTCTTTACATAGATTCCCTCATGTAGGGCCCATAGGCCACAGGATTAGAACTGCTTTATGCTAGAGAATTCCTGTCCGCAACTATGACTGGGATGAAAACAGTACTTATAGTATTTCAAAGTGACACCATAGCAGTATGAAGGACAGGAAAACCAGGAAACATAAGATTTAACATTATTTTTTTACTTTGCTCAAGTAGAGCCTAAGGGTTTATAATAAAGAGGCAGAAATTGAAAAAATACTTTGCTATCCACAAACCTAATTTTGCAAAACAGTGACATCACACTAGGGGAACGTAATTTAAGTTTTAAAATTTACTCATTACAACTTATGTGCAAGGCTTTGGTTAATTAAAACAAGATAAAAGTTTATGTTAAAATAACTTTCAGTTCTTTTTAATCTACCATGTCACTTTTACCATAATATATAGTCTTCAGCCTTGTAGCTTCAAAAAATGGATCTTATAAATTTTATATTAAAAGAGGATATTTAATATTTGCTAAAGCATGCGTTAAACAGTAAATCTCCTGTCCTGAAACTGTTATAGAAATTACATTTGCATTTGAGAGGCATCTTACCATGGCTAAAGGACAGATAAAATAATCTAAACAACTATCCATGACAGTATAGCCATGGATTTTTACAAATTTTATGAAGATAATTAACATTAAGAATTAATTGCAACTGTTCACTATTCATAAGGTGTTGTACAGGAGCTTTATTTTATTTTTTATTTTTTGGCCACACCATGCGGTATATGGCATCTTAGTTCCCCCACCAGGGATCGTACCTACACCCCCTGCAGTGGAAGCGCAGAGTCTTAACCACTGGACCGTCAGGGAAGTCCCAGGAACTTTATTTTTATATACAATAGAAAATCAATTAAAAATTAGTTGTTTTTTTTTAACATCTTTATTGGGGTATAATTGCTTTACAATAAAAATTAGTTGTTTTAATTAATGTCAGTTTAATAGTGTCTCTGGTAATTTATTAACCATCAAAGACTAAGATACAGTATCCTTCTATCAAAATTTTTTCTTATAGCTAGTATTTTTTCCATCACTGCCCTCAGTAAACCAGGGCACTCCACCAATCCCAAGAGGAACCAGCATGCGGGATATTTGGTTTCAAACCAAAGGATTACACTACCTTCAGTGCACTCCACTGCCATATCTGTTCTTCCTTGTTTCAGAGAAAACAAATGTGAATATATTGTAATTCATGATCTTAGGAAGGGCAGCCATCAAGCAGAGATAAATAGCACAGAAATATGTTGACAAACCAACATATGCATCAGTATCTCCTCCTACTGACAACATAACTAAATGCATTAAGCTTAACTAGAACACACCCCCACATTATGCACTTCATAGAGGGACTGTTGGTTAATAATAATTCTTTTCTTTATATGCCTGTGATTTTTTTTGAAAAAATGGTTTATTAAAAATCTTTTTCCCCTAAATCAAGGGTTTTTTTTTTTTTTTTAGCTAAAGCTTTAAGGAATACATTTTTGCCATAAATGTTTAACATAAACTATAAAACTAAAAAAATTATGAAAACAGTCTCAATAAAATAGCCTTTTTTACAGTTCTTTCTGCTCTTTGTATGTGAATCCTGATTAGGAGTTTTAGTATGTATGCTCTCAAATTTCTACTTAAGCATCAGCAGTTATTTTGTTTAACACACCATTAAATTCAATGGGTGAACAGAATTTCCGCTGTTCAAACACTTCATTTTATACGGCTCCATTTGTCAGAATACTGAGCGATACTGCTTACCTACGATGACTTCTACTTTCTTGCTGTTCTGACTGTCTCGATCATTATATACACGACACCAATAGGTTCCTTGATGCTCCAAATCCACATAAGGCACCTGTATCAATATTAGAACATGCTCGCATTTCCTCAATGTTAATTGAAGTGGCTTGGAGAAAGTTATTTTGAGTTTTTTTTTTTAAAACCTACAAATCCTAACATTTCAGACATTCCTAGATGATTTCCATTCATTAGGTCAAATATTAGCAAGCAAATAATACAATGAATCTAACAGTGGTGAGTCAGATGCAATACTCAGTTTGACATTTTTCATACAAGCGCTTACATGTGGGCTGGTGTTCTAGCCCTTTTGCAAATATAAGAATCAATTAATATTAGATAATAAAGAACTTGAAAAAATACTGAAAACATTAAAACACCCCAGAGAATATGAATTTTAATATTCACTGTAATTTTCAATTATACTATTTTACATATTTACCCCCCCCCCAAATACCCCCAAGGCCAACTTCCTACCATGTACAGCTTTTTTGTCTCATGTGTTAATGGTGATTCATTTCTGAACCACTGGTAGTGAGGAATGGGGCTTCCAACAGCAACACACTGTAGGATCAACGTGCTGCCAGGCATCAACTTCTGGGACTTTGGTTCAATACAGATTTGCAACTTAGAGTCAGAGACGCCATCCAAACTTCCTTAAATTAAAAGAAAAATATCACGGAACATAAATAAAATCTCGAGGTTAAAAAAATTTTTTTTAATTAAAAAAATATTTTCAAGTTCATCCATCTTTTTTTTTTTTTTACAATCTTCAATAGCATCTCCCAAATGATGTTCCATAAAACTGTAGCACATCTAGAAATATTAAGAGATGTTCTGTGGATAAAAGGATGCGATAGACAAATAAGTTTAGAACATTCTGGGTTAAACAAAGGTAAACAGTTGTCTTTATGGCAGGACTTCTCCGTTTTCCAAGTGTTAGTACGCATTGTGTATTTAAGAGGGGAAAACAGTTTAAGTGGTTTCTAAATGTGTTTGGCCACAGAGTCTTTTTGGTGGGAGCAAAGGACAGAAACACCTTGAGTGATGTTTCTGTTCAAAACAGAAAACTCTACGTTCTGCTGTTTCATTTAACTTGCCTTAAAATTAGGAGTTTTGTTATTAGCACTGAATAAATATGCATGGGTTAAGCGTTATCTATTGAATGCTCATCTGTTACTCTCTAAGGGCCTTGAGGACAG